TCTCATCATTAGGAAGAAGGCATAGTTTACCAAAACTGCTAAGCTGTTTAGTGTTGCTGTCTTTTGCTTTGGACAGCCCTTTCTTTTTGTTAAAGGCCTACTCTTCTTAGAAGCAGAGGGTCACTACCTGGCAAAGTCACATTAACTTCACACAACTCTTGTTTCAGCACAGACCACACTTCCCATTGCATGCCAAACTTCTATTGTAGCAGCATCTAAAACACATTATCTCTCTGGCCTATTCACCTTACTTGGTCCCTCCCCTGGCCCCACCATACCCAGGAATCATATTTCCCTTGAAAGCAGTTAACTTTTTTAAAAAATATTTTTTAAGTTGTTAATGGACCTTTATTTTATTTGTTTATTTATATGTGATGCTGGGAATTGAACCTAGTGCCTCACATGTATAAGGCAGGTGCTCTACTGCTGAGCTACAACTCCAGCCCTCAGTTAACTTTTTTTTACTCAGTTCATAGCACAGTGCTTGGCACACTGTACAATCGCAATAGATGTTTGTAAACTCACAGATCAATGAATGAATGAATAGATCAGTAGAAGAATGAATGAATGGGTGGAATTTAAAATCTGCTGTTTGTATTTGCATGTTTGAGGGCTGGCATTAGGGGCAGACTCTTATTCTTGGAGACTGAATGAAGAATGTTAGAGTTGTTCATTTGTCTATCAGGCACTTGTCCTGCCTTCAAAGGAAAAAGAGGTGGGGAGAGTACTGGTCAAATTCCTTATTCCCACCAAGGTGAATTATAACAGGTATAGTAGGCTGAATAATGATCCCAAAGATGTTCTTATCCTGATCTTTGGGGACATGTGAATGTTTCCTTCCACTGCAAAAGGACATTACAGATGTGATTATATTAGAAACTTCCAGATGGAGAAATTCTCGTGGATCCTCTGGTCCCTAATTGTAGTCACAGTTCCCTTATGAGAGGGAGACAGTGAGAGATTTGACTGTAGAAGAGAAGGAGGAGGCAAGCTGAGGACTAGTTGAAATGCTGACTCGCTGGCTTTGCAGCTGGAGGAAGGGCCTGGCCAGGGAATGCAGGAATGAAACTCTAGCAGCTGGACAAGGCAGCTAAAGAATTCCCCATCTAGATCCCCCAGAGGGAGCACAGCCCTGCCAGCAATCTGATTTTGGCCCAGTGAAACAGATTTTAGATTTCTGACCTCCAGAATCCTGAAAGAACAGATCTGTGCTGCTTTACGTCGCCAAGTGTGAGGTAATTTTTATAGCAGCTCGAGGAAATGAGTACAGGCTGGGGCCATGATAATTTTGTGACTTCTCAAAACCTTGGGTAGGGTGGCAGTTTCTTTAGTCTAGAGAGGTATTTGGGGGCAGCTAAGCACCTACCAAAGAGAAGCATTAGCAGAAAGTGAAAGTTGCTCCTATAAGGGGGTACAAGTCCCTGTGATTAGTAGCAAACAGCAGTGTTCCTCTAATAAAAGGGTTCGTTAGTGCTTCACAGAGGCACTGTGTTCTGTGCTCTTCAGTGTATTGTCTCATGTATTATTTACAACAGACCCACTGGGGTTAAAAAAAAATAACTTCCAATGAAGATATGCAAATACAAGTCACACAACAAGTTGTAAGTTCTAGTGGAATATTTGGGGGAAGAAAGGCTTTTGTTCAAAACCAACCCACCACAGTCTCTTCTAGATGTGGAATATGAGACTTCAAGATATGGCTTGAGGGCTGGGGTGGTGGCTCAGTGGTGGAGTGCTTGCCTAGCATGAGTGAGGCACTGGGTTCGATTCTCAGCACCACATATAAATAAGTTAATTAATTAATTAAAGGTCTGTCCATGTCTAAAACAAATTTAAAAAAATATATGGCTTAAAAAAATGTAGCAGGACCAAGAGATGGTTGAATTGCTCTGCTGAAGAACCAAAAGAAACTTGGGAATAAAGAGGTGTTGCAGGAATGGGGAAGCAGTAGATTGTCAGAAAAGGTGGCCAGAGAGACATCCCCAGTGCTTTGGAATGAAAGAATTCACTTCCTTCCCCTTTCATTTCATACTTGAGTATGTTGCATGACAAGTTGGGGGACAAATCAAAGGAAACCTATGGGAGGGAAAAGTCACAGAAAGTGAGGAGAAAGAACAGAGACCACCGGAGTAAGAGAGCAGGTGACCTCCTTCTGGATAGGCGATACACAATTGGAAAGTATTTTTTTGTACTTTTCCAAGGACAGATGGCCATGGATGAGGTCTAGGCCATGCAGAATCTCTTTACAAAAGAATTTCATATGTGAGATGTGTCTGAGAAGACCCACTGCAAGCTCTGTGCCAAGCATAAGCTCTCCCTTGCTCCCTTATTCAGTAAAGCCCACAGGGTTGCAAGTGAGGCCAAGGGGCACAAAAAGTTCTAATTTACCATTGCTTTTCAAAAAATATTAATCATGCTGTCTTTAATCCAATATATTAAAAACTTGGATCTTCAGCATGCAGTGACGATCCAAGACACTAATAATGACATCTTTTACACTGTCTCACAGTAACTTTCTAAAATGAAGTATGCATTCTACATTTTGGGTGCATCTTGGATTAGACCAGTCTCATTACAGCTACTCAGTAGGCACAGTTGCCTGTGGCTACACAGTGGACAAGCAGCTCTGCTCTTTCACAATAAGTTCATCCTCCTCTTCTACACAGACCTTCTCTTTGCCGAAATTACATTTAAGAACTCAAATGCCTGAACTCCAAGGTTGGGGTGCAGGGGAAGATATGTCATACTCTCTTGTCCCAGGGCAGTTTTTGAAGCTCGTGCAACTGGTGATTTTTTTTCCCTATTATTTGAAGGTAGTGGTAGACAAAAGTTCATAGAGACGTATAATATTATTTTTTAAAACTTCACCACTCAGCAACGTTAAATATTTTGATGAACATACTACTTAATCTACTGGTTACAACTGACTGAGCATATAATGGTTGGATGAAATCTAATAATTTACCAATAAGGACATGGCTCAGAAAACTTTGGAGAGTCTATTTTTATATACGTAGCAAGCAATGAATATTTTAAGTAGATATGTTTAGCATTCAAGGTCCTGGCAGGAAACCAATGTCACCGTAAAGTCAGAACAATGGAGGGATTAATAAAGGAGTTGTTCTCAAAGTGCAGGGAAACCACTGAGGGAGGGTGCAGCATCCTCGAACACTGGCGACAATGGGGATGATCCCTTGGTCATCTCTACCTGCCTGAAGGGCAAAGACAGGGGTCTAGTTGCTGGAACTCAGAGGGCTTCCTGGCAGGAGCAGGGCTAAGGGGTCACAGCCAGGCTGCAGAGAAGCAAAGTGCCATCCAACTTCCCTTTTTTCTCTGAACTTCCGCCAGTATTCATCCTTTGGCTGAATCAGGCTGGACACCAGAGGGCAGGGAAGCCCAATGGGATGGTCATACAGGCCAGCTTGGGAACCTCATACAAGTAGAGAAGAAGGGAGGGAGACTCTGAGAGGACCGGTGGAAAATATCCCGTACAGTAAGATGGGGTGACCCTTGGTGACAAATGGAATGGTGCTTCCTATGGATGATGCCATGTGACTACTGTTCTAAGTAGAAATTTTTCAGGAGCATAATCTTGAACTTTTTATTTACTTCCCCTTAAACACATACAAAATTGAGGGTTTCCATGAATGTGTATTACTGGTAACCGAGAGAAAGAGAGAGAGAGAGAGAGAGAGAGAGAGAGAGAGAGAGAG